TAGTTATGACGAACTCGGATGAATGTGCTAAGAAAGCATTCATCAAGACATCTGCACAGAAGTCTGAAGATAATGTTCAGTGTTTTCATGTGATCATTCTTTAAGTTCTGCTTTCTACTTTTTGCCAATCAGACAATGCAACACATTTACACATGGAGGTACATTAGCCATGTAAAATTAATGAATGATTGTTATTACTGCTGTTGTTATTGCCAACAACAACCTAACATTTTATTTTTTTAAACTATTTTTGATTAAGAATAATTTGAAGGGTACAATGTGCTGTGCCTTCTGGAATATTGGGACAACACTAAACCTGATTATAACATCCATTCTCTGTTTGAGATTAATACAATATATATGATTTAAAACTAAATTAGAGTGTTTTCACTTGCACTTTTACAGAGCCCAGAAAAGTTAAGTGTGGGTAAGCTCCTTCTTCTATATTCCCGTGTAATCTTCTTCCTGTTACACATTTATAGTCTGCCTTCAGAACAACGGGGATACTGGCAAAGGAAGATATATTTTATTCTAAGTGACTAGCAATAGACTAAAAATGTCATAAACTATGGTATTAGACAACACTTTACAAACACATTTATACTGGAAGCATTAATACATGGTAATACCACACATAGTGTCATGTAGGTGAAAATATTACAGACACTTAAACTATACAAATTGGACAATTATGTTTTGTTAAACATAGACAGTGGTGGATAAAACTGTAATAGAACAGAAAAATCTAGAAAGCCCTAAACCTGAAAGAGGAACCTAGAGTCCGTCATGTGGTATCTGAGCTGGATGAAACCAGTTATATATGACCTTGTAGAAAATTATTTTCCTCGTTGGGGACAAAAGAAACATCTTTTTTTCTACTACATGATAGGAAGTAATAATTTTAAGTCTTTTTTTTTCATGTGTCACTGTAAAAAATAATGCATCAAGTGATCTTCCAACTCAAAGCATGTCTTTGGCTACTACATTTCTTACAGACTGAGACAAATGCAGGCTTATCATAAAGAAATTCAATGGAACTAGAATAATGCCACTTCAGTTAACACCTATTGTATGACTGCTGAAGCCTATTGGAACTGAAATGCAGTGCAACCCTCTTTGTTTAATTGTAGCTTCTTGCTAGACTAAAGAGAAAAAAACAAAATGGAAATGGAGCTGCAACACATTCAAAAAATGCCTTGGTTCACTCAACTACCAGCTGAAGTCCTGACTAAGCACAGTTCACAGTTTTGGCTTGAGAATGTCCTGAGAATAAAAAGCAAAGGAAAAACAGATCTACTTTGATACTTGCCGATACCAGCTGAGAACATGAAAAACTCCCAGAGGTTGATGTCCAAGACATAGAATGCAGAAATCACCATAAAAACATCATTACATCCAACAGTATAGTTTATCTGGAGCTTTGGTTTCAGGTTTATTAGTGATCACGTCTTTGTTTCAAGTGAATTGCTGAGAATTATTGCAATTTCAAAGTGAAAAATACATTTCAAGGAAGCAATTACAACTAAATGAGCCTTGCATTGTTCCATGAAACATGTCTGAGAGTTTTGTCCAGTAAAAAACTAACATTACTGGCAACTATTTCTGCTACAAAACACAACAGACTGTGGTGTATTTCCTTTTTTTAATTCTTAGCATGCAAGTGCTTAGGTGTTATCTTATACATTAGGAGATTAACCTATCAGTTCGGCTTTGGACCGTGGGAAAAATATGAAGCACTTGAAAGCATGGAGAACATACAAACTCTTCACAGGTAGCACCCCTGGTCTAGGACTGAACCCAGGGGCCCCAGCGCTGTGAGGTAGCAATGGCAACCACTGCGCCACACTCATATCACGAGCTCACGACAAATGAGGGCACTTTTGGACTCAGCTGCATTTGTGGACATTGACGTCATTCCAACATAACGTTAGCTTACTGTGAAAATAAATAAAACAAAAAGAGCCATTTAGGCAACGCAAAATCCTTCTTAGCACGCCTGCCGGTACTGTGTAGCTCAACATACCTGTAACACGTTCGACACTGCAGGATTTCATTTTCAATTATTGCAGTCTGGAAGTCTACCAGCGCTTTGATACACCAAGAAATGTAATATATATATATAATGATAAATATATATTATAAACAATCATAACATTCTTTTTTAACCATGATCAACTAGAACGCTTTATTTCTGCATTCTTAAAATACTAGGCAAATAATTTTCAGGGATCCGTCATTATGACAACAAATACAAAAATACGTCGCTGACGCGATGATGAACAGATGTTTGGCAACTATTTTTTCATGAAAACCCTCATGGAGCATTTTTTTGTTTTAAATATTTTGTCTCTTATCAAGAGGTGAAACACACTGTTATGTTAAATTCCCAAAGTTAACTTAACTCTTAAATGTTCAAATTGCATTTAATGACACAACAATTTGATTTCGATTTCTTTATTGTTTATCGGTAATTTAAACTGAAAAGCGTGGGAAAAATACCTTTAGGTTTTGGGTAGACAGTAGGACTTGAATAGTTTTAATATACCATAGTTAGATCTTCCTTTATTTTTTGGAATGCATAAATAATAGAACTAGTAACAAAGACATTGACTTTAGTCTTCCATTCCTTCTAAAAAGTATTTCATTTATACGCGATTTATTGTCTTATCTGCTTGATCAAATCGAAAGTCAAGACACTTTTCCATAATAAAGGGAAAAGTACAGTACTGTACGAAAAATATGCTAACGATTGTGCAGACTTCTGAAAAAGGTTAACAGCACACAGCCAACACCTTCCGTGTGAACAGCGCCATATGCCAGTACAGAAAAAACATTTTTTTAGAGTAGAGTTTTCTAAACTATTTTTTTATAATTTGTTCATTAATTTAAAATTATTTAAAGCTGCAAAGACACAAGTGAGAAGCTAATAACTTCCAGCAATAGCTTTTCAACAACAGCTAATGTATACCGAAAGGATATACTGTACAGTGGACATAAATCTCAATTAGAAAATGTTCCTGAATGTGACATGAACGCAGATGCTGGTGCTTCTAAATTTCATAACCACTATATTCATAGAATGTCTTAATATTTGGAAAATTAAAAATAAAAGTGTTAAAAATGTTTAGTATGGAAAGGTTATGGAAAATTCTTCAATTAAAATAATCCAACAATAGAAAATGAAGAGAGGCAAACAACCCCATTGCATACTGTATGATCCAAAAACTGATAACAACCCATTTCCAAAAACAACCGTCTTTAATAACCACATATAATATATTTAGTGAGCTAATGAATAAATGGTCCTTATCAGAGCAGGCTGTCCTTGGACTAGATAGCATCGTCAGTTTTATTTGCTTATAGAAACGGTTAAATGCTCCCAAAAGCTATATTCTCCAGTTGGTCACGAACACAACAAAAATAATTAAACGTAAATAATTAAAGTGTAAATATATATTTTTTATTTTCCACCAGTAATTCGTGTACACACGGTTTTCCGTAATTCTTTTGTTTTCCTAGTCAAATAAACAAGAAAAAAAGAAAAACAATCCACATACCTCCTTTTTATAGCAAACGTGACAACATTTTGGTTATATTATTTTGAATCCCAACAGAGCAACCCCATTTTCTTCAACTGCGTGGAAACAGAGATCGCGGATGAAAACCACACTTCAGTTTCTCGTCCGACTCCGGTAGCCTTGGTAATAGGTTGCTTTGACTGAAACAAGATGTCGAGGGGAAAGCTTGATGATCAATCCATTTTCTGAATAGGAACCGTCACGTGAGAAAACGATCATGTGCCTTTTTTGTGAAATTAAATAAAATCTCAATTCTAATTTATTTAGATAATCTACAAGATTTCCCAGTTTTTGTAAACAAAGAAGAGGACGAAATAGTGCTGAATAGGAATGATTTGCACTATTTGCAGATTTGCCACTGAGTCAAACAGAGGAGTTTCAACAGAACACGCTGAAAGAATAACCGGACCCCACAAGTACATACTGTACTACAGCATTTGTACACACACTCAGAGAAAACACAGCATTATATACAGTATATACTGAAATACCGTAAAACCGTTAATGGAAATGTCAGACCGTCAGGACCAAGGACAGCGGTGCATTTCCTGGTTCATGTTATAAGAATGTTAACTTTACAAGTTAAAAAAGCAACTTTTTGACTAAATGTTGACAGTATATAAAATTCAAAGCTCATTCATACGCTTATACGAAATGTTTGAACATAACATGTATTTATATATTAATTTTGCTTCAAGTCACAAGCACAAGATGCCATTGATTTATGGAGCACCTCATTTTACAGAAACCTGTAAGCTACAATTTTGTTTTCATTTAATGTTAGAGCCTTCCTAAATTAGATTTTTTTCCTGTGAGTTGCACAACCCCAAACAACACACTAAATGGTGGCTTTTTAGTTCATTTTTGCATGAATGCAGTCACATTTTCCAACAGGAATAAAACTTCAGTTTTAGCCAAATTCTCAATTTTCCAAGCTTTTGATATTACATGTACTGTACATTTCAAAGCTTCTGTTTCCCCTTTAAAAACACACAAAATTGGCTAATTATGAAACAAAGCCAATTGTTTTTCAATAAACACCCTAGTGTCTGATATTTTGCTATACTGTACCACTCTCCCAGTTGTGCAGGTCTCTAATCCAAGATTAACTCATTCAATTTGCATTTCAGATGTACAGTTCACCGTGATGATGTATGCGTAATGTACATGCTTGTGCCCATTGTGAAACAAAATCTCACAAATTATTGTTTTAACAAAACTAAGATGTAATCAATGCAAAACAATAACAGCTTAATATTTAAAGTAACTATGATTGCAAAATGATAAAAACACATCCTAAACCCAAAGGACAATGATTACATTTTGATCGGTTTTCTTTTTGAGAAGGCTAAATGACTGCTAATTGTCTTTTAAAGCAGCAAACTTAACAGCAAAAATGCAGAAGGTTACCACTGCTATTTTGTTTACCTGTTTATCTGGATGTTATCTTTTTTTTTGCTACTGCCAATTGAAATGGTAGCATCACTCTTTGTATTTGCATCTGCTTGCTTACGTTCATTCTGCCTATGGAGTTTGCTAATTCATACCAGTGATTGCAAGAATCTACAGAGGAAAGAAAATCTTTATATCTTGTGGGACAATCTATCCACCCCCAAGAAAGAGAGTGTCTAATCAAGACTGGACATGTCTGGAATACTGTGCTGAACCACGATCACGCTGGAGCACTGCATATACTATAAGGATGTTTATAATGGCACAGATGTGCAAAATGTAATTTATTCTAACAAAACTGACAGATGACATGGGTTCACACTGCACCATGACAAGTTCAATGTACTGGTACAGTATAGTTTCATAGGAGTTTTGCAGAAATCCTGTAAGGTTTGATGATTACTTAGATGAAAAACAGACGGAATTGATTAAACTATGGATTAAGAGGTCTGTGGTTTCCTTTTCATTGGTAGCAAACATGAAGTCCCTCTTCTCTTGTGGATAAAAGGTACTGTTATCCTTTTCTGTGCACATTCACAATAAGTTTAAATGTATGCTTGCCTTGAGCTTGGGAATAAGGTGAGGAGTTAGAATTGTTATACTCCATTTATTCAGGTGTGTAGTAGTGGTTCTTCCAAAAATGTCCTATCCAGAACAAAGTAAACAGGACTGTATGTATCTGTATGCATCTGAGTGAGCAGTAAACACCTATTAAGGCCAAGATGGGCTTTATAGTATCAATGTTATATTGTCTTCTTTCTCATTCCCTC